TAAACGAGTGCGACGTTCTATCTGTTCGGCAACTGTTTATCCTGCAAATAATTATGAAAAAGCACTCAATTACTCCATATGATTACATGACTGTAACTAAGCAAAGACGACACGATCCCTTTTTATCTCGTACTCAACTCCGCACAGCACACTCACATAGATTCTTCTGCTCCCTTGGCACATTCCTTTATTTTAAAATAAATTCTACTTTGCATTATTTTCATATGAATAAAACTGAATGTAAAAAGACCGTCAAATTTTGGCTTAAGAGTAAAACCTACAATGATACCGAGGACTTGTTGGAAGTTATTTCATAATTTATATTTATATAATATGTAATGTTTAACTACTTATCTTTTATAAATTGTAACGACTTATAACTACTTATCTTTTATTTGTTAAATTTATAAAATCTTTTTTTTTTAAGCTTTATTATGAAAAATGCACTATTATGCCTAAAATACAGGTACACATGTACTTAGTTTAGGCATCGCAATTGCACTGTTAGGCACTAAGATTAAAATGTTTAATTTTATAATGATTATTTTATATAATTTAGATTTTTTTTTGTTTATTACTATTTATTTTAATATTTTATCTTCAATTACATTGTTTTCATTATAATTGTATTAGATTAAGTAATATTGAAATAAATTTATCTTTATCTTTATCTTTAACTTCTGCTTCAGGCAAACTCGCGTCAAAGCTCAATGTAAAACAAAGCTTTTTTCCTTTATTTTTTCCATCCTCTAAGGTTTTTCCTATGAATACGTCATTTTGTCATTGAGGACGTGTCATGGCACAAAAAAATGGAGTTCACAAACAGACTATCCCAGTGGAGTAACGTCTAGCAAAAACAAAAAATATGTCACGCTATGGTCACGACTGACTGAAAAAGTATTGCCTGTAAAAACTCGAAACGTTAGTTCGTTTGAAAAACCAACACCCGCTCTATTATCGCGAAAATCTAAGAACACGCTACATAAAATAAGGTTGCACCATTGACCTAACCTATAAATGGACGTCTTGTTCGCGCCAAAAAGTGTCCGTACTTATAGGGCGTTAAAATCGCATACAGAGCGTCAATCGCGCAACAGTCTTTCAGTCGTTTAATCGACTGACAGTGCGGTTGTCAATCATGCAGTAGGTACCATAAAATAATTTGTAAAAATTACTGCAGTAAAGTGTAAAACAAGGCTTTTGTATCATATTTTCACTAAACGAATATATTGTATTATCATATATAAATGTTAATTTGTGCAGTTGCATTTAATTTATATATAAATGAATCGTAAATATAAATTACAAAAGCACAAAAAAATCAAATAGCTAACTGTCCCTTTTCTACTTTATACTTCGTTACTACATGTGACTACGTTTGTATAGGTTAACTTACTTAGGTTTACTTAGGACATTTTTTCCTGGTTTCTGTATTAGACCCGACGTCCATTTGTTGGTAGATCAATGGGTTGTACCAAACGATTATAATTTCCATATTTGAATAAACAAGTGAGAGATTACAATATAATTTTTTAAGTATAGCGCCATCTAGCGGTTTGTATTTGTACTAAGAAACGAATTGAGCATACTAGTTAGTTACATTGGGTCACATTTTACAGTGCGAGGGCGTGACGATGCATGTGCAAGCAATAAATAATTGTTTCACTTCTCATGCTCCTAAAGATCGTATTTATGCTGGGTGTAGGCAGCATAAAATAGGATTTTATGCTCTAGTGCATAAAATAAAAAAAAACATCGCATTAAATATGTCTAATTGTTGTAATTTTACATTCAATTTTATTTGAATAATCGTTTATTTGTAATATTGCTGTTTAAATTTCCTCGCAATCGAAGTGAAAAGCAGCGTGTATAACTCGTTCATAAAACCCATTTTACCCTCGACTTAACTATCCACTCTCGCCTGCGGCTCGGGTGGATATACTCGTCTCGGGTAAAGAGACGCGTTTTATGCACTTGTTGTACAATCTACTATTAATTTGCAAAAATTGTACTTAATGTTTTTTTTCGTGGGTTTAACAATTGAAATTTGAATAACGAATGGGTAACTTACATGTCAAAAACTAAATCTGTAGGTGAGAGGCATTGACTTGAGAGGTAAAGAACCTTAAAATATGATGAATAAAAAACTAGAGATTAATAAACTAAAAACACGTAATTATTTTATATTTGGATAAAAATTAATTTTGAATTTTAAATGCATGAAAATGGCATTGAAATATAAAATAATTATGTATTTTAGTATTTATCTATTTACCCTACCAGTCCCAATTATAGAAAAGTGAATTATTTTCGTCACAACACTAACTAGGTACATCGTTAAAGTTATCAATCGAAAAATGGCGGGTTTTTGAAGTTACGAGTACAATTTTTACAAAGATTATTTTTATTTTAAGTATATTATGAAGAAAAAACGACGAAAGAAATAGTTATGAAGAAAGTTAGAACTAAGATCAGGTAGAGTAAGAGGAACATATTTTATTTCGAGACAAATCTTATGAGCTGTCGGAGGAATAAATAATGTCTTATACGAATTGCTCTAATCTTGCCCTGGTTTATCAGCTTTCCATGTTTTAACAAGCATTACGCTAAAATTAATACTTACGATGTATCTGACAAAAACGATCAGGTTGTGCAAACGTTTCTCTTCCCCCAAAAAATGGGGTAAGAGGAACTGTCATCATATTTCATATAAATGCAATGTATATTTAAATATATCCGTTGTTAATTCTAAGTAAAACTATTTCAATCGTATTTGATCTTAAAACCATTGAAATAACGCATGCTTATCAAAAAAAGGTGAAAAATAAGTTTTGGGGCAAGAGGAACATACAGGTTAAGGTCAGGGGTGACAAATTAAAAAAAAAGTGAATCTATCAAGTTCTTATTGATGTATATTATATAGTATATATTGATGCATCAATATTAGACATAACTGGTTGAAGACTGTACCACCTCAGTCAACCGTGACCATGGGACCTGTAAAGGGCCCGAAACGTCGGTTTGTTTGAAAAAACAAATATACGCGATTTAAATCCGGAAAAATACTTTCATTTCCTAAAAGTGAATCTGTTATAATTTTTTTAGTATAATGTACAAAGCATAATAAAGGCACATTTTAAATCACTCGTTTACAAATCAACATTAAGTAACTTAAGTACTTTTTAAACATTGTCATAATAGAAAAACAACGTTTGGTCCAAAAATTAATTTATACTTCTAACAAAATTCATTCTTCTCTAGTCACCAAAACCACTCTACTTTGAAAACCATTCTACTAAATCAATTGAAATTTGGTATAGAAGGAGTGTGACCACGTAGCTAACGTGCAATGAGCGTGCATTTTTGTGTTTGTTCTTACATTACGTTATTATTTTAGAGCTTATGTATTTTTTTTTAGTTTTCCAATAAAATATTAAATTTTCTAAAAATTCCTGACGGAAAAAATCTACTACCAGAATTTTGTTGCTGGCCTTAAAAACTATCTTAAGATGTGTGATTGTTTACACATAAAATTGGAGTGGTGTAATTATTGTAACATCATCAGAAATTATCATCATGTGGACGAAGTCACTAAAATTTTACCAAAATTTACAATTACTATTAAAAACGTTATTTGAACAAATTTAACTTCATTTCTTAGAAGTATATATTATGTCTAGGTATAAAATAATAATATATAATATATAATATATAATATATAGATATAAAGCTGTGTTTGTTCGAATATGACAATATTCCATTATGACAATTCATCAAAAAGTTTGAAGTCCTTTTAGAAATATTTATTTTTATTTAACTCAACATGCCTCTATAATCAACGTTATCAGTAAGGACACTTTTGATCTTGTAATAAGTCGCATAAATCAATCTCATTATAGATCTAATAATAATGTTATTTCTAGATACAACAAAGATCAAACGATGAAATAGAAACGGTAAAAATTATTCAAATTTACTTACATTTTGTACACTGACTCGGCGAAAATTGTGGATCTGTACGGACCCACAATTGTAATAGTGTCCTCTGAAAATGAGAATAGTATTTAAGGATTAATAACCACAAAGTTGTTCTTGCCATTCTACAATTACATTAAAAACACAATAGAAAATATTTATTGAGGATCTCGATAACCAAATAACTGGCTTGAAGAACTTCTATCCAAGCCAAAAATCGTGACAAAAAAGAAACAAAAAGACCCTAAATTTTTTTTCTGCCAAATTCGTACGTTTGTTTGCATCAACATATATTATCAGATTCGCTCTGGACCTTTTGGAGGGAAAAGTTTCGTTTTTATTTTGATTTTCAATTATTTTGTGAAATCTAGTTTAAAGTGGAATAGGATAGTGCTATTGTGCCTTAATCGAAGATTAAAACGCGAAATTATACGAATCTCGAACTAAAATACCCGTATCGGCCCGTTTTAAGGAATCCCAATCCAATCAGCACGCCGCCACAAATTGCCTATCCTCTTTGTGGCGGCCATATTTACAGAAACATAATTAAACTTCATGTTTAGGCTGATGGCTTTGCCAAAGCCTTAATAAATAAAAAAAAAACATATTATCATCGAATTCATTAAAGTTTTAATTGCAATTTCATAAATCACTAACAGTACCGATGCATAGATAAAATTATATACTGCCTAATATACACAATAATGTGCCATCAACTGGAAATTCGTATCATTAAACACAAAATATTTCACCAATTAATATGAAATATTTTTGTTGTTAAAGTTCATGTTATTAGGAGTGCGACAAACGGTTGAACTGTGGGCGGGCCTTTGTCCTCTACGTAGGTAGATGAACTTAGCGTAAGGAGAATTACCAATTAGTCATCAAAAGAAAGAAAGGGACAACTGCGTCGTGCTTTTCATACAATCACTCAATACATTTAGGTTAGGTGCTACTGTCGTTGTAAACAGACGTCGTTATAAACATATATAAGGAAAACAAAATATAATATGGAACAAGATCCATTAAAATTAATAAAATCGGACAAGTGGAACGAACTTCAAAATGAGTTTGAAAAAGATTATCCTCGCGGAGTTACAGGGTTCAATTGTTTGCAAACGCAGAAAAAATGGTTGGAACAGGGCATTGACTACGGATTTAAAGTTTTTTGTCCTTATAATGAAGCGAAGAATGGGATGATTGCTGTTTTAAACGACCAGGTGAGTGTTAATCCATTAATTACAGATGTAAACAAAGTACTCTAGTTTCATGTAAATATGAACGCGTTACGAAGCGATACCTAGTGATGACAGTTTGAACTAACTCAGCATTTGAGCTAACATGGTAGTTACGTCTCGTGAAACACGATGGCGCTGCTGTCGTCCTACTTTTCCATGTGCTAATTATGAGAAAAATTGTAAAGAAATTCATCACTTAAGAATTTGCTTGTTGAGCATTTTAGATTATGCGCAAAAGTCCCCGAAGGGTTCATTCGAAAACGGATAAGTGTATAAATGAGATCTATTTGTTAATGCATTTAATGACTCATGGTAAATGAAATCCCTACTCGTAATCTCTTAAGTAGACACTACATAATTGGTGTAAGTAGTTCGTAATTAGTTTTAGTAGCACTTGAGTTCCTTGTGAAAGAGCTCCTCCAGGAAAGCACTGCCTTACCTGTTTCTACCGTCAAGCAGTAATGTGAGCGTTACTGCGTTTCGGTTTCGAAGGTGCTGGTGGAATTGCAGGAATATGGGACTTGTCAACTATTTATATATCAACTATACATCGGGGTGACAGTCGCAGTGACAGTGCCTCTAAGATCTTTGGGTTAAAAGCTCTGAGTGGCACTGCAACTTGTATGTACAGGCCTCTAGGTTACCGCCAAGCGTATTATTATTATTTTACGTACCGTAAAAAAATAATACAGGGTGATAAAAAAAACCACTGAGCATTTTAAAGGAGCATACTGTATAATGGAAATAAAAAATACATATTCGGTTTTTTTTTCAAATACTTAGCAAATAAATAAGTTATGACGTCTCAAAGCTTTCCGAAAAATTGTGAACAATATTGACACCTGACGATTAACAGATGCCGTTGCTATAGCAACAAGAACGGTCTGGGGGCGGAGTCAGCGCGCGAGTTTATGTATTTGACACACAACAAATTACTAAACTAACGCGCGATGCGTTAGCGCAGGTCTGTCGTCGCGCGGCGCGACGGGCTGACGTCTAGGCATCTAGACAACTTGGCGCCGATCCTCAATTTTAAGGTAACCACGCGCTAGAAATATTGGGAATTATTAATATAAAAAAATTGGGAAATAATAATATAAAAAAATGGGGAAATTTTCTTTTGTCTTATTTCACTAATGTGTTCTATTACTGAATCCTATGCACAGGGAAAAAATGGACAGTTTTTTTTATCAGCCTGTATAATATATATTTAAGTGGAAAATCGGGAAATTACAATTATTATTAAAACTAACTTTCCTATTTCACCACATTTTATTAAACTATACATTTTCGTGTAAACGTTTTAATCAGGAATGTGACTTTGGACACAAAGAAAGTAATCTAATTACATATCGTTTTTCTTTGATTCCCAGGCAATATATGAACTCCACATAGAATGTCCGAGCGATGACACAAGCAAACTGGAAGAAGCCTTAAAGAATACTATACATATAAATTGGGATAGAAAACTTTGTATACTGTTCCCTCCATTTCATGTCGTAGAATGCATTCAGAGAGTCGTCAAAGACATTGGCAAGGAAATAACGAAAATAAGTCCGTTGATTTTTTATCTCTTGGATCGACGCACACCACTTTTTGATGTTGAGTAAGCAAATTAATTATTTAATTCTGTTCACGCAATTTTTTGGAATATTTTGAGACTACAAAGGACATGGGACTAGTCAACTGTACATCTCAGGGTGACTGCCTCTGTCAGGACAGGTCTTTGTGGTTAAAGCTCCCAGTGACTCTGCAACTGTTATGGGTAGGCGTGTCACTTACAACCAGGCGTACTTCTACTTGGTGCCTGCACTTGATATAAAAAAATACAGTCAACAGCGTAACAAACTATACATTTCTGTTCGTATATCGCATTCAGTGCAACGGAACAAGCTCCATCGGTATGTAGCTTTATGTGCTGACCTCTGTACTTGGCGGCGTTCATAAACAGAAAACAATTAGATACTATACAAATCGGTACAGTTCATGGAATACCACAAAAATCCCAAAAGTAACAAAATACGAAATAAGGGAAGTGTGGTAACTCCGTATAAAATAACAGCGCGGCTTGTATGTGAGCGTGACCGTCGTGTTCATGCACACATTCGCATAATAATGAAAGGCTCGTTGGAATCACCAGTGTAAAGGTGGATTCACAATACAAAACTCAAAATCGAAGTCAAAGATAATTTATTCCATAGGTAAAATAAATTTACACTTGATAACGTCACATTTACATTACATTAAGCTACTGCTCGTTCACTACGCTGACTTCCCTGAGAAGAGCGAGCAAGAAACTCTAGGGATTGCTCTTTTCAAATAAAATTAAATGCTATGGAATACACTTTGAATCAAATTTGTGTGGATTCTGGAGCCGTGTCGTCTTTCCATACATCTTTATCTAAAACGTAGTCTTCAATTTTGTAATATGACTTTTCAATCAAAATATTTTTAATGTAGTTTTTAAACTTAGGAAATGATAATCTTAATATATGCTCCGGAACCTTATTGTAAAAACGTATACAGTTCCCCATAAAAGAGTCGTTTACCTTGGTTAAACGAAATCGTGGTACCATGATTTTGGCTTAGCTCTAAAAAGTAAGCACAATTTTTGACGTTTGTGAGTATTGTTACTCGTCAAAAATTATTAAGTTTGACTGGCACTCAGTCACGGGCTCAGTTGCACCTCGGGAGCTGACGTTAAATTTGTATCGTCTGAATCCGAACTCATTTTCGATAGTTGTAGAATGTGCATGCAAAACAATCCAACGTCAATTTTGTGCTTTTATACAATCTGTGGACAATACGTGTTCTAAATCCCAGTTTTTTTTACTACTTTCAGTTTACCACAAGGCTTCACGTTTCAACAACTATCTCAGAAACACATCGAGATCGTGGATTCAACATGGCCACATCGGTATCCTGGATCAACATTCTATTTTGACCTTCTCATTCAGGCTCAATCTGGTTATGGCCTATTTAAGGACCAGGCATTGATCTCTTTCGGTTTTATTAAAGAGACTGGGGCTTTAGGACATTTGTATACTCTAGAAGACCATAGAAGGAAGGGCTACGGATGTATGTTTTTGAAAATGTTGTGCAATATTCTTTTAAAAGAAGGAAGACATATTAACTCTTATTGTATTAAGAAAAACGTACCTGCTTGTAAGATGCATGAGAAGTTTGGGTTTAAAAAATGTGGTGAGGTTGCTTCAGTGCATATACAATAGAACTAAGTAGATAAGTAAGAAAATGTAAAAAATTGAAGAATTTGAACATTGTGGTAACGACAATAAATTAATTTACAAACAATATGCAGAAGATAATTTAAGACTTTACACGTTGTTCCACGGTTATGTGACACGAAGGGGGAGTACTTTAAATATTGTAAATAGGACATTTTATTTGTAAAAACACGTGTTGGATTTCTTATTAATCTATGGCTTGATTTGAAAACTCGCGCCTCATCGTCCGACTCCCGTCTTAGAGCAATACTTACGCCACGGTTGTACGGACAACGGCACACCAGACTACACATTTTTGTTCTAAAATCGCCTCCAGTGCAACGGAACAAGATACGTCAATATACTATAAATACGTAGCTTGATGTGCTGGCGTGGGTATATACTGCGTTTCGTCCCCTGTAAAATTACAAAAATAGCACTTACAGTGTAATGCTTCTCAGGTACGGAATTAATTTACAAACAATATGTAGAAGATAATTTGAGACTGCACACGGTGTTCCACGGCTATGTGACACTGGGGGGCGAGTACTTTAAATATTGTAAATATAATATTTTATTTTCTGAAATGGGTAATACTGCTTTCAATAATATTTTATGTAATCGTTGCATAATGAAGAAAGAAGAGCCTCCTCAGTAATAGATACGAAATTTTAAGACTGATTGTAATGATGACTGTAATGATTACATATAATACTTTTTCTACGAGTAAATTAAAAGAATGAAACAACCAATATTTGTAGTTTGTTTGTTAATAATCCACGACAACAAACTCAAAAGAAAGCCAAACAAACGTTACAAAACAAAAAGCCGAGAAAATATTCTACTTCTCAGGTTTTTTGTGAAGAAGATTGACCAAGTACCTACCGGTTGTATTTAAACCAATCAGAAGGCAGTAGAGCGTTTGAGTAGCGTCATATTTGATATATTATTAACCTTTAAAAAGGAGGAGGTTCTCAATTCGACTGTATGTTTCTTTCTTTTTTTTTTTTATGTATGTTTTATGTACGCGATAACTCCGCCATTTGTGAACCGATTTTGATGATTCTTTTTTTGTTGGAAAGAGAGTATCTCCATAGTGATCCCATTTAATTTTGAAGAAAATCATCCACCTCTAAGTTCACGCACGAAGATTAATTTTATAAATAGCACCTGAATATTATTATAAGGAGCAATTATTTTAATGGTTGGTTTTGCTATTCTCCAAATTCAAGGCGTTTTTCTCTCAATATACTTTAAGTAGTGAGAACCGATTTTTATTATCTCCTGTGTCAAGTATAGTAGCGAACTAGGGGATGAATCCGGGTTCGCGCACTTTCCGGTAACTGATTTTAATAAAACTTGGCAAATAGATGTAATTCCACGTACTTTTGAGGTATGTTTTTTTAGTACTCTGTACTGATATTATATTGGTTATAAATGATAATAATAATAAGTTTTAATTATTTATACAAAGATCGAGCACTTAGAAAAAAAGGGTGCGGTTCGTAATATATAACAACAAATGACATATTTTTAGTCGATATAACGCTCAACAGATCTAATTAATTTATGGTATACAGAAATTTGGCATATTCTTGTATGATATAAAGGCCACTGGGTATAATAGACGATTGATATAACAACTTTCAATCTAATATACCGATGGAATAATGTTCATTTTATATAAACACTTCAGATGTAACATTCACTGAGTATAATGTATTATTAATATAATTTGAGTGGTGTTTAGGTGCAATGGTGAATTAACCGAATTTGTTTGCATTTGCTAGTTGGTTCGACCTCCTCCTATGGGTTTAGGTTAGATTAGTATATTATAAAGCCGAACGAGTCGGGCGAGCGCAGCGAGCGTGCCGTGGCAGCGGCCAGCGAGTGCCAGAACCGAATTTGTTTGTATTTGCTAGTTGGTTCGACCTCCAACTGTGGGTTTAGGTTAGATTAGTATATGAAAAGCTGCGCAAGCCAAGCGAGCGCAGCGAGCATACTACGGCTGCGGCCGAAGAGTGCCAGAAACGAATTTGTTTGCATTTGCTAGTTGGTTCGATCTCGTCCTGTGAGTTAAGGTTAGGTTAGTACATGACAAAGCTGAACGAGCCGAGCGAGCGCAGCAAGCGTGCCGCGGCAGCAGCCGTCGAGTGCCAGAACCGAATTTGTTTGCATTTGCTAGTTGGTTCGATCTCCAACTGTGGGTTTAGGTTAGGTTAGTATATGAAAAAGCTGCACGAGCCTAGCGAGCGCAGCGAGCATGCTGCGGCAGCGGCCGAAGAGTGCCAGAAATGTATTGTTTGCATTTGATGGTTGGTTCAACCTCCTCCTGTGGATTTAGGTTAGGTTAGTATATGGAATTAAATATTCTGCTTAAAGTTTTAATAAATATATTCTATAACACAAAAAGCACTTAAAGCTATAAAAAACAATTATATTTCGCGATATCATTTAATGAAATAAAAAAAATCTTATCAACATAATATAAGGCGCTTCAACCATTCGTAAAACGAAATACTATGTTATATTATTTAATACATTATACTGGTAGTACTTATACTATTTATTCATTATGTCACCTAATCGTTATATAAAATGTTTATTATACTGACGGTTTACTATACACATTGAAATTATGCCTTATGTTGTCATATCTTTTGTTGATTATATACAGTGAGTGATTATATCCTTAGAAATTATATTATATGTTGTTATACAAAGTGAAAATAGATTATTTGTTGTTATATCTTCCATTACACACCCAGAAAAAATCCTTCGATCCGGCCGGATTCGAACCGACGTCTTCTAGCAAACCGTGCCAGACGCTATGCCATTTAGTCCACGGAACGAACCAGCGGACCTCATGCATGTCTATTACTTAGGGTGTTGATGTGCTCCTGGAAACTTAAGGTGTTATTCAAGATTACACCTGAGTACTTTGTACCACAGACCAATTAGATTATACAGTCAACTTGTAAATGCGCGAGCAGACACATACATTATCATTTTGTTTATTCAGGTGTAGGCTATAACACAGTACAGTACAGTGGCATTATAAAGGCAGTTTGTTCTTTTTTTTCTCTTAATGAGAAGGTGATGTATTTAGTTTTTTTTTTTTCGCATTTAGTATGAGAACATTATTATGCAACCTTATTAATTAACATTATTGTTTATAAGTTTGACATTATTGTTTGCGTGCTGTGATGAGGATGTTAAAACTACCCTTTTAAGGCGTTTTGTCAGACCTTTTACACGTGCAGTCTGTCGATAAGCTACACTAAAAAAACGATCAATGCTTTGCGTGTTCAATATAATAATGGATTTAGGATGTTGTTGGGACTGCCACGCTTTAGTGCGATAATACGTAAGATAACTGCCTTCCTGATGCGTCACGTGCGTAACAGTTCCAGCAGCCTCGTCCGGTTGATTTGGGAGTACCCTGCTTGTCACACATGGAAGCACTGGAATTAAGTTCATATGGGTTCCAGAGGCCCAATTTATAATATAATGTAAATATACAATTGAATTTAATTTATAGTTTGATGTAATTGATAATTTGATTTAAATTATTTCATCGTCATTTGCGTCGTATGTGGATTTTATTCAACCTGACATTTAAGGTCAAATTCGTCTGTTTTAGCATGGTCTCTCTCAGCCAACGGATAACTACCATGTTGTCTTTTATACTGGAAATATATGTATCTGTAACCTGAAAACAAACAATATCTGGAAGTAACAGGGCATTGATGTGCAACAGGAAAAGAGTCGCTGAAAGAACCGACCATTGAGGAACTCCGAAGTCGATAGCCATCAAGTCAGAGCAGCAGCCTTCAATGACTACTCGTGCTACCGACATGCTATCAAGTACTAAAATACGAGATAATGTATATCTCCAACAAAAAGTGAACACGATTGTAGATTACCCTAGAGAACTATGGATGAAATTTAAAATGACAAATCCCTAACATCACTCATCGTAATAATTATTATCTAAATGTTTTTCTGAAAAATCCGCTGTTCAAACTGTTAAGTGATAAGAAAACGGTTTTTTATTTGCTACTTAAAGTTGGCTTTGGAAACAAAAAACAAGTCAAGATTACAAATTTTTCCGTTGAATAAACTAACCAACCGCGTGAATACCGCGTTTTTACCATAGTTGGTTCAGTGGAAGGGAGTAGCTAAAAGTGGTGAGTATCGCGTACGGTACTTTGGTATCTTGAAGTGAATGTTCTTAACGAATTCAGGGTTGTCAAGTTAATTGTGAAGAATGTCGTGTAAAAGTTATAGTTTTTATTTCGCTTAATAGGTACGTGTGGCGAGATTATACCATTCACAATGGAATAGAACTGCTCCACAGCACCATCCACATGATGCTCCATGCTCCCTCAGCACAGTCCACCAATCCACGTCAGCCAAACCCAGATATAGTGTAGTTAAGTCTGCTTTTAAAAAGTTCCATCTAGGAAATCCATGATGGTCAATGTCAACACGATTAACGTCAGGGGCAGTTTGCTTACAGTAACTTCTACCACGTGGTAATGATAGTATTACAATTTTCAAAGCACGTTGTGGCCTATCCGATCATACAAGTGGTTCCACCTCATCACTGACAGTTATTGATAGTTTCGTTAATATGACTCACCACTAAGTCAAGCATGCCGCCATATTATACATATTATGTATATTATTATATATATATTATACGTATTATACTGCCTCCGTGGCCGAACGGTTACC